TCCGCGCAGCTGGGCCTCTGCCTGGCGCCGTTCCTGGGCGCGCTGTTCTTCGGCGGCTTCGGGGGCGACGGCGCGAGCGAGCTGCCCGCCGCGGCGAAGTCCCGCCGAGACTCGGGAGGCCGGTGCGCTTCCGCGCGCGTCGCGGGCCTCGGCGGGGCGGGGCAAAGTCGCGCCGCGCTGGTCGAATATGCCGCTGCCTTGGACCGGCCCTGCTGGCGGCGATCGCGGGCGTCTTATTGCGGCAGGGCCTTGCGCTCTCGGTTTTGTTCGCGGCCTACCTCTGGCTGGGCGAATGCTGAGAGCGGGGGCTTCTGCGTGGGGCGGCGGTCTGGGGGACCGACGCGCAGCGCGATTGACTTCCGAGGCGCGCGTTGCAGCGCGGGCGGGGGTGAGAAGGAGGGCCCGGTAGATCGAGGGGGCGAGAGTGCGGGGGGGTCGGAGAGAAAGAGAAGAGAAAGAGACAGAGGACGAGAAAGAGAACGAGAAAGATAAAGAGAATGAGAAAGAGAAAGAGAATGGCAAAGGGAGAGAGAGAGAGAGAGAGAGAGAGAGAGAGAGAGAGAGAGAGAGAGAGAGAGAGAGAGAGAGAGAGAGAGAGAGAAATATACATATAATATACATATAGATAGAGAGAGAGAGAGAGAAAGAGAGAAAGAGCGAGAGAGAGAGAGAGAGAGAGAGAGAGAGAGAGAGAGAAAAAAAAAAAAAAGCGAGAGCGAGAACCAGAGAGAGAGAGAGTGAGAGAGAGAGAGAGAGAGGAGAAAAAAAAAGGCGCGCGAGCGGCGCGGTAGGGGGGAGGGGAGAGGGAGGGGGCGGGAGAGCGAGGAAAGGGTGAGAGGCCAGAACGCCCCCCCCGCCGCCCGCGGCGCCGCCTGGGGTGGGGGGGTGGGGGGGCGCAAAACAAATCGGCCAGACTCCCTGGCATTTTTGTTGGTGCTTCCCCCTCCCGCGAGAAGCGCTCCTCGTCGTCTGGTCCGTTCGTCTGTTCGTTCGTCGACGGCGGTGCGCTTGCGGTGGCCCTGGCGGCATCTGTTTCAGACTGGCGGCTCCTGTGGAAGAACCCCAGTACGATGCCCTGTGCATTTTTGGTGCTCCGGTGATGGGCGAGGCTTACTTGGCATTGGTTGGTCATGCTTGGAACTGTTTGCCAGCGAATGCTCCTGCTTGGCATTGGTTGGTTGCGCTTGGCATTGCGTGGTTGTGTTCGGCATTGAATTGTCGCGCTCGGTGTTGCCTCGCATTGGTTCCTCATGAATGGCATTGCTTAGCACTGCGCGGTTGTACGCGGCGCTCAATGGTCGAACTTAGCATTGCGCGGCATTGCGTGGCATTGGTTGGTTCTGCTTGGCGTTGCTTGGTCGTGCATGGCATTTAATGGTTTTGCTTGACATCGCTTGGCTTTTGTTGGTCATGTTTGGCGGTGTTTGGCAATGGTCCTGCTCTTGCCACTGCCTGGCACTGGTGGGTAATGCTTGGCATTGGATGGTCGTGATTGGCATTGGTTGGTCGTGCTTGGCGTTGCGTGGGATTGCGTGGTCATGCTTGGCACTGCTTGGCATTCGTCCGAGGTGATTGGTATTGGTCGGTCGTGTTTGGCATTGCTTTGCATTGGTTGGTCGCGTTTGCCGGTGCTTGGCAATGAGTGGTCCTGCTCTTGCCATTAGTATTGAACACTTACCAAACAAATGTGCCAAATAATCCTTGGTAAGGAAGTCGCGCGGAAAAATTGGCGGTAAGGAATCCTTACTCAGGAATCTTTAGGAATTCCAGATATGGAATTGTCATGTACGAGTCCTTACTCAAGATTCGCTACTAAAGAATATGTAGTAAGGAATATGTACTCAGAAATCTGCATTCACTATCTTTATTGAGGAATATGGATTACGGAATCTTTGCTACGGAATATTGACTAAGGAATTTGTATCAAGGAATCTGTAGTAAGGAACCTGTATTCAGGAATATTTCTTAAGGTATCCTGACTGTGGAACCCTTATTCAGGAATATGTATTCAGGCTTCCTTGGTACGGACTCTTCACCAAGGAACCAAGTGGATGGAATCGTCAATAAGGAATCCGCAGTAAGGAATATGTATTGTAGAATCTTTACTTTGCTCAAGAAGCCATGCCAATTAATCATTATTTCTGAATCTTTATGAAGGAGTTTGCAATAAAGAATATGCATTAAGGAATCCGGACTGAGGAGTCCTCGCTGAGGAATCCCCATTAAGGAATCCGTAGTACGGAATATGTAGTAAGGAATATGCATGAAGGAACCTTTTTATCAAGGAAGATGCATGAGGGAATCCTACTTCAAGAACCCCTACTAAGAAATCCGTAGTGACGAGTTTGTATTAAGGAAATTGTATTAAGGAATCATCAGTGAGGAATCACTTTAAAAGAATCTGGATTAATGAACCCTCAGTATGGAAGCTTTATTCCGGAGTTTCGATTCAGGAATCTATATTAAGGGTTCTTCATACAGTAATACTTACACCGGGAATCTGTATTACGGGAACATGATCCAGGAATGTTCATTCAGGAATCTTTGCATGGGATTACGGAATCCTTGGAGACGGCGGAAGCCGCGAGCAGGCCCTGCCGACCCTGACAGAGACGGCGGGCGCCGCGCGCAGGCCCTGCCGACCTCCACAATCCCAACGAGCTTCAATCGCTATCAGGATGCTGCCAAAAATGTGATCGGCGCCTGGGCGAGAAAATCATGTTTGAAAACAACATGCGCGGCGCGGATGCGAGAGTGCCAAAAATGCCGCCGAGGCACGGGCCCCAGAACGCCACCCCAGAATCAGAACCCCCCGCCCTCGAGAATACGACTCTCGCGTCGCTCCAGCTGGTCGCCCCTGTCGCGGCGGCTGGGGGGGCCGCGGACGTCTGGGGCTTGCTGCTTGCGCCGGTGCAGCAGGGGACCTCCAGCAAAACCAACAGCTGGGACGACGCGGCCCTCTTGGATTCGATCCCGCACGCGCGCCCCTGCCCCCAGGTCTTGAAGAACCGGTGCCGGGCGCCCGCGGACCGCGTCTGGAGCTACCCTCCGGAAGACCTCTCGGTCAGACTGGCGGAAGCGGCGGCGGGGGTCCAGTTGACGCACCCGGGGTCACCTTTGACGGACTTGGCCACGGAGGAGTGCCTATCGACATCCTTCACCGGCTGCGGACCCCATTGGAGGCCAAGCTGCGGATGCGCGCGGCGTCGGGCTCGACCCTGAAGCGCTGCGCCAAGCAGACACAGGTGGTCACGGAGCTGGGCAGGGCGCCGCCAGCGGTGGTGACGTTCGGCAGCCACGTCTCGGCCCTGCTCGCTGCCGCGTTTGCTGGCACGGCTTCGGCGCCGAACCCGCCCGCGCTGCTGTGGGGCCAGGGCGCTCTGAGGGCCGGCTGAGCGACCGCCGGGTGACCGCCCGCGCGCGCTCTCTGCTTAAAGCGGCGCAGGTGGCCGCGTCCCGCAGTCGACGGCAGATTTTCTTAGAACTCTTTGCAGGCTGCGCGGGGCTCAGCCGAAGGGAGATGTGGGGTATTGGGCGATAGCCGTTGACGTCGTTTCTCGTCCTTGGTTCGACTTGGACCAGCCTCGTTTCGGGTCTCGTGCTGGCCGCGTGGCTGGGCACCCTATGCAACGCGTGGTCTCAGGCCCGCCACGGGCCCGCAGATTCCAGTTGGCTTAGGCTCCGCTCGCCCGAATCCACCAGGGGGCTCCCAGGCCTGATAGTGATGATTCTGCTGATGATGATGGTGATGGTGATGGTGATGATGATGATGATGATGATGATGATGATGATGATGATGATGATGCCGATGGTGATGCTGATAATACTGATGATGATGGTGCTGATGGTGATGATGATTATGGCGATGGTGATGCGGTGATAATATTGTTGGCGATGATGATGACGGTAGGATGGTTATGCTGGCACGGACGATGCCGATGACTGTGATGTTGATGCTGTGTTTGGTGATGATGATGATGATGATGATGATGTAGGTGATGATGATGATGATGATGATGGTGATGATGATGATGACGGCGATAGTGATGATGGTGGTGGTGATGTTGGTGGTAGTGATGATGGTGCTGGTGATAAAGATGGTGATGACGATGACGACGGCAGCGCAATGAGGATGGTGAGTATGATGATGACGGTGATGGGGATGAGGAAGAGGTGGACGGCGACCATGGGGACATAGAGGAGGAAAGAAAAAAAGAATGAGGCGGAGGAGGAGGAGGATAAGAGCCACTGAGGATGATGAGAGTAGAGGAGGAGCGAGGAGGAGAGGCGGTGGAGGAGAAGGAGGGAACATATATTTATATATATACATACATACATATATATATATATATATGTGAACGGCGCGGGCAAAGTGCAGATCTTATCCGCAAGTTCCGGTAGATGCAGCTGCCTTATCAGCCACCAACGTTTGTACACTTGACAAAAACGAGCGAGGATGAGGAGGACGAGGAGGAGGAGGAGGTTTGTTGCTGCTGGCTGCTGCTGCTAGTGCTCCTCGTCGTCGTCATCCTCCTCCTCCTCGTCCTCCTGCTCCTCCTCCTCCTCCTCCTCCTCTTCCTCCTCTTCCTCCTCCTCCTCCTAAGTCGTTCTCCGAACAGGGTTGCTCCTTGGGAAGCGTCGCTGGCCGCCCGTCTGCGATCTTCCGTTGACGTTTCGCTCAAGCTTTTTCCCACGGGGCATGGTGCCCCCGTGGGCGGTCGGAGCCCTCACCCAGCTGTCGCATGGCGTGGCCTCCTGGTTGAGTCGGGCACCGCCGCCGCCGCCGTGCCCGGCGTTGGAGTGCCCGGACTGCCACTGCGCCTGCCCCGCGGTCCCGCCCTGCCCGGCCTGCCCAGGGGCGCCGGCTCCCCAGTGCCCGCAGCAAGAGCGGGGGCGCGCCTCCACGGCGCCCGCAGCCCCGACGGTGGCGGCGGCCTGGGGGACGACCGTGGCGTCGCTCGTGATCGGCATCGCGCTCGGCGACCTCGGGAGGTGGAGCGATGGCTGCTGCTGCCGCCGACGCCGTGCCCGCGCTGGAAGGAGCGGACCAGGTGGCGCACCTCCTGTATGCGGTCCCGGGGGCGCCCCTGTGGCACCAGCGCTGGAACTTGGGTCGGGTGGTGTCCTGTCCGAGTGACGCGATCCTGGTCTCGCCGGACCACCAGGTGCAGTGCGAGGTAGTGGACGGGACGTCGGCCGACATCAGCGCGGTGCGGTGGGCGCCCGCCCTCGCCCCCAGGCCGCCGGGCGTCGTGCGGGCCTACCGCTTCGCGAGCCCCCCGACCGCGGCGGAGGTGGCGGCCTGGCTCCCCGATGCCCAGGCCGAGGCTCGGCGCTGCTTTGCTCGGCGCCACCCGGGCGTGGCCGTGCCGGCGCCCGTCTTCGAGGCGTGGCCCTGGGCTGCGCCGGGGGCGCCGGCTGCCGCCGTCGGGCCCGCCCCTGCCGCGGTGGCCCCCGCCGCCGGGCCGCCGGGCGGAGGTTGGGTCGTCGTGCCAGCGGGGGGCCCGCCGCCCGCCGCGGCGCCCGTCGCCCCGGCACCCGCGCCCCTGCCGGGCGGGGTGATGCGCCGAGGAGGTGCGGCCGCGGCGGCTGCGCCGGCCGCGGGCGGCGGGGAGGCGGGCGGTGCGCCGGCGCCCGCGGGAGCAGCGCTCGCAGCGGCCGTAGTCGGGGCGGCCCGACCCCTGGTGCTGGCGGGAGGCGCTGGCGACGCCGCCCCCGCCCCTGTGGGGAACTGGCGCGTCGCCCAGGAGTGGAGGGGGTACCACTACGGCGATGTGATCACCCCTCCAGCGGGCTTCGCTGGGGCGGGCACTCCCGCCCGCGGAGTCGTCCTGCTCGCAGACGGGTCGTCTCTCTTCGTCGAGTGGGTGGCCATCGGTGGCGAGTCGGACTTCGCCGACCGGGCGGTGGCGCCCGACTGCCGCCTGCTGCCGGTCCGCCTCGATCGCGCTGGCAGGCCCTTCCGGACGCTTGAGAACCTCGTAGAGAGCTGCCGCCAGGAGCACCTCCCCGACTTCATCGCGCCGAGGACGACCATGTGGTGCCTCGAGCACCTCGCGGGCGAGGGCCGCTCTCTCGAGTCCCACTTCGAACGCTTCAAGAAGCTGTGCGGCCTCCAGGACTCCCAGTGGGGCATGGAGGAGTACGCCAGTGTGATCAGCTACCTGAAGGCGTTGCCCCAGCACGATCAGGTGGACGCGTCCAACATCCTGTCGGTGGAGATGATGTTCCGCCGGCTCCAGACGATCGAGTACTGCTACAGCGACAAGTTGCGCGAGAGGACAGCGGGCTCCTCCGCGGGGAGGCTCACCGCCGACGAGCAGGCCGCCTTCGGCGCGACGGCCCGAGCCGAGTCGAGGCTCATGGTGTCGCCCGCGCTGCTCGAGAGCGCCAAGCAGGAGCTGGAGCGCGACGCCTCGCTGGCCAAGAGCCTCCTGAAGGCGCGCGAGGCTCGGGAGTCGCTGGGCAAGCGGGGGCAGGGCCAGGGGAAGGACCAGGGGTGATGCTCGACCGCCCCCCCCAGACGTCCCTCAGGTCTGGTGGGGGGGATCCCGACATGACTGGGGATGCTCGGCACGCCGTCGCGCCGCCGGGGAATTTTGACAGGAACGTGGGGAGGGATCTGCTACCTTTCCCCACGGAGCTGCTCAACTCGTCGGAGCCACCAGCACCTGGGCTCTCGCGAGTTTGCCGACAGAGAGTCGGCCGTCGGCAGCGTCGTCACGCCGACGTTCTTCGGTGCTTGGAAGGTCTCAACACGATATACGGCCGCCGTGAAGGGGTACCTGTACCTGCTGATCTGAGCCTCGGGCAGCAGCATGTGCTCGATCACGTTGAGTCCTCTGTCTCTTTCCTGGGGCCCCCCCCAGATGATCTTTCGCAGGCGGCAGCCCTCCAGGCGCTGCGCCTCGGCCTCCCCTACGACGCAGGGGGAGGCCCTGTGGGCTATGAAGCCTCCCGCGTGTCCCTCCCGGCAGCTGGGTCGGTCCCGACTCCGCTCGCTCGGCTTTGGGGATCCGGCGGGGAAAGTACTGTTGCACGCTTTGCTGAGTCGCAAGTTTTGCCCATCGACGTGGCACGAATGAGGTTAAAGGACTCGGGGCCCCTTCGGCCCTACGGCGACCCTCGCCTCCACTCTCCCTCTTTGTACGGCGAATTCATTCAGCGATTGGTCGAGGCTGGCGTAGCCGAGCTGACGCTCGAGCGACCTACCGAGGTGGTGGATTGCTTCTTTGTAAAAAAGGGGGGCGGCAAGCAGCGGCTGGTCGTCGACTGTCGGCGGTCTAATCAACATTTCGAGCCGCCCGCCCCTGTCAGCCTAGTCTCTGGCGACACTCTCTCCCAGGTGCATGACGACGACTCCCTCGGTCAGCCCGTGTTTATTGGCCAGGTCGATATAAAAGACGTTTTCTATCACATGGAGCTCCCGGAGGGGCTCCGCCAGTATTTCGGGCTGCGAAGAATTCGGGCCTCGTGGGCGGGCATCTCTCAAGTCCAGGGAGTCCGTGTGTCCCCGGGGACCTGGGTCACCCCTCGGATGCGAGCCTTGCCCATGGGCTGGTCCTGGGCCCTCTGGTGGTGCCAGGCGATCCACGAGCGGGCTGCCGAGGAGGGAGGATCCCCTGCTGCAGCCCGACTCGCGGACGGCTCCCCTCCGCCTCCCCTCGCCTCCTCCCCTCACGCACAGTACGTAGACAACTATGTGGTGATTTCGACGAGCGAGGCGGATGTCCGCGAGCGCTTGGCAGGAGTGTCCCGGGCCCTCGAGTCTCGCGGGCTGCCGCTGCATAAAGAGTCTGTCTCATGCGATCGGGCCGTCGTGCTGGGGTGGGAGATCGATTGCCTTCGGCGCACCTTCCGCCCGACCCCCGAGCGTGTCTGGAAGGCTCGTCTCGCTATTCGGGGTCTTTTGGCACGGGCCTCGGTCTCTGGAGGGGACTTGGAGCGCCTCCTGGGCCATCTGTGCTTCATCGGCCTGTGTAGGCGAGAGTCGCTCAGCGTGTTCAAATATTGCTACAGGTTCTGTGAGGCCGCGCGGAGATGCCCAGCCCGGGGGCCTCGGGCCCTCTGGGCCTCTGCCAGAAAGGAGCTCGACATCTGGGACCGTATCGCCCCGCTCATCTGGGTCAACACCTCTGCGGGTACCTGTCCAGACGTCGTCGTGGTGGACGCGTCGCCGTGGGGCCTTGGGGCCGTTCGGGGGCGACCGCCGGTGGCCCTGGTCAAGGAGGCCTGCCGTCACTCGGAGCGTGCTGGGGCTCGGGAGGCGGCCCGGGAAGGGCGGCCCCCCCGTGAGCGCGCTTTCGCCGCGGCCGCTGCGCAGCTGCACGGAGGTGAGGGGGAGGCCGACAGGCGGATCCTGATGGAGCTCGTGCGACCCCAGTCTCGACACCACCGTCCCGAAAGCGAGTTCGACCGCCGGCACACGAAGTCGTTCGAGGACGTCCCCTTGGACCTCTTGAGGGCCCCCTGGAGGGTGTGCGGGAGGCAGAGGTGGAAACGGGCCTCGACGTCCATGCCGGCCCTGGAAGCGGAGGCGCTTTTGTACGGGGTGCGCCACCTCCTGAGGTCCGTCGCCAACTTGGGCTCGAGGCTGCTCGTGATTGGGGACTCGATCTCCGCCTCCCTGGCCGCCACGAAGGGACGGTCCTCTTGCGATGGCATGCTCTCGGTGACCCGCCGGCTGGGCGCCCTGCTGCTGGGGACCGGCAGCCTCCTGCGGTCGCGCTGGATCGCGTCGGAGCTCAACCCTGCGGACGGACCCTCGCGCGGCCGACCGGCGCCGAGCGACCCGCTTGCCGGCCTGCGGCGCGAACTCGCGACCGCCGCCGACGAGGGCCGCGATGCTGGCGCGCGGCAGGTCCGACAGATCGAGGACCCCCGCGGGCCGCCAGCCGCCGCCGCCCAGTTCGGGGTCGGCCTCCCGCCCGGCCTTGGCCCCCCTGGAGACTGGGGGCCTGCGGGCGGCCGCGGCGCGGGCGCGGGCGGAGCGCGCTGCCATGCTGGCTGCGGCGCGGGCCCCACAGGCCCAGATGAGCCTGCTTCGGAGGGCCTCGGTGTCGGCGAAGACGCAGGCCCAGTACTCTCTCTACCTGGCCGCCCTGCACAGGTTCTGCGACTCCCGCGGGGACCACCCGATCACCGAGGAGGAGTGGGACATCGCCGCCGCGGGCCTGATGGAGATCATGTTCATGGAGGGCGGCTCGTTGAGCGCGGGCGAGAAGCTCCTGGCGTCGGTGCAGTGGGCCGAGCCGCGCCTCGGCAGGCTGGGGGGCGGGCGGATGCCCGTCTGTCGGCAGTGTCTGCGAGGCTGGCGCCGCGCTGCCCCAGCAGGGGGCCGCTTGCCCCTGCCCTACGACGTGGTGGCGCTCCTGGCGTGCTGGATGATCTGCCAGGGGCTGAGACCCCACGCGCTGGCCATCCTCATGATGATGGAGCTGTACTTGCGGCCAGGAGAGCCATTCCTGCTACGGGGCCGCGACGTAGTGGCGGGGTCCCTCAGCGGAGCTCGCGAGTGGACCCCCACATCGGTCCTGCTCCACCCGTTCGAGATGCGGACCCCGTCCAAGAGCCAGGAGTTCGACCAGACGATCGTCCTCGACCTCGACCGGCAGGCGGCGCTCGCGGACGCCCTGGTGCAGCTGGGGCTGGAGCGCGGCGTGGGGCCCTTGCTGGATCTGTCGCCCAGCGCCCTGCGCCGGGCCCTGGACGAGGCCGCGGCTGCCTGGCGCCTGGGGCCCCTCGGGCCGCTCGACGCCTACCGCTTCCGGCACACGGGGGCGAGCGTCGACTTCGCGACCGGCGCCCGGCGGCTGGAGGAGATCCAGCGCCGCGGGCGGTGGCGGTCCGCGCGGAGCCTCCGCCGCTACGAGCACGGGGGGCGACTGGCCGACCTCTTGCGCCGCCTGCCGCCCGACGTGCAGCGGGCGGCCGCGGCGGCCGCTCGGGAGCTCCCCGACGCGCTGCGGGGGAGGCGGATGCCGTCTTTGGGCCGCTGAGGGCGCCGACCATCGCCGTGTTCCTCGAGCTGTTCGCGGGCTCGGGCCACCTGTCCGACGCCGTGGAGCGGGGAAATGTCCCCACACTGCGGTGGGACATCCTGTACGGCCCCGCCTACGACCTGCGCGACCCCAGGAGCGCCCGTCTCATTCGAGGCTGGATGCGGGCGGGGCTCGTCTGCGGCCTGCATGCTGGCTTTCCTTGCGAGACCTTCTCGCGGGCGCGTGACCGCCCCAACGGCCCTCCGCGGCTCCGGTCCCAGGAGCACGTCTGGGGCCTGCCCAGTCTCCATCCCGAGGGCGCCGATTTCCAGAAGGTGAAGTGGGGCAACCTGTACGCGCGGCTCACGATATCCTTCTGCGTGCTGTGCTGCCAGTGTTTCGTCCCCTGGTCCGTCGAGAACCCCGCGCTGAGCTACGCGTGGCAGCTGCCGCCGATGCTGTCCCTGCTCCAGCGCCGGCAGGTCACGACCCAGGTGATCGAGTACTGCCGGTTCGGGACGCCCTGGAGGAAGAGCACCAGGATCGCTGCGTTTCTCCTCGACTTGGCACCCTTGGCCAAGTTCAGGTGTACAGGGCCCGTCTGTGTCCTCACTGGGCAGCGGCATCAAGAACTGTCCGGCAAAGACGCATCGGGCAGGTTCCGCACTAGATTGGCGGAAGCATATCCTCGCAAGCTCTGCAGCACCCTCGCCAGAGCCTATGCCGACGAGAAAGCCAGGTCCCGGGCAGGTCAGTTCTCCGTTTTGATAGGGCGTGCTGCTCGAACGTCTTCCGACGCTTGATTAACAATTGTTGTATTTTCGGCGTTGCCAGTCTAGCTGTGCATTTTGCAGCATTTTGGATGTGTCCGAAATTTCAGTTGATGTCCGTGGCCGCCTACGGATCGGAGATCCTTGGCGGCAGCCTCTTGCGTCGGCAGCGTCTCGAAGCCTCGCCACCTGGCCTGCCCGAGCTGGAAAAAGGGAGCATAAGTCGTTCTCCGAACAGGGTTGCTCCTTGGGAAGCGTCGCTGGCCGCCCGTCTGCGATCTTCCGTTGACGTTTCGCTCAAGCTCCCTCCCTCCCCCCCTTGCTTTCACTGTATCTTTGCCGGGATGTGTCCGAAATTTCAGTTGATGTCCGTGGCCGCCTACGGATCGGAGATCCTTGGCGGCAGCCTCTTGCGTCGGCAGCGTCTCGAAGCCTCGCCACCTGGCCTGCCCGAGCTGGAAAAGGGAGCATCCTCCTCCTCGTCCTCCTCCTCCTCCGCAATTACTCAATATGAATACTACTCTCCCTCTTCCCCTGATGGCGTGCTGGGAGTAGTAGACCCCCCCCCCCGCGCACTGTTTTTTACACACAGGATTCCCGGGAGTTGGGTTTTCGCCTGCGTTTTTTTTTTCAAAATGCTGCTCTCGCTGAGGCGCCGGCCTCATTTCTGCTCCCGAATCGTTCCGAATCGTGCTCCCGCTGCAGCGTGGGCCTCATTTTCGGATCGGTGTTTGGCCTCCGTCGTTCAGGATGGCGTTCTCGCCCCAGCGCGGGCCTCTTTCTCGCGCGCCCATCCGCCCGCCACCACCGCGCCGCACCACGCCCCGCCCCGCCGCACGCACACCCACCGCCACTTCCACCCACCAACGCACGCACGCACGCACGCGCACCACCACCGCGCACCGCCACCACCACCGCACTACCCCACCCACCACCACCACGCTACACCGCGTCACACCACATCACACGCGCGCACACACAGACACACACACGCACGCACGCACGCACGCACGCACGCACGCACGCACGCACGCACGCACACACGCACACACACACACACACACACACACGCACACACACACGCACACACACACACACCACCACCGCCACCACCACCACCGCCATCACGCACGTACGCACCTGGCCCACCACCAAACCACCAAGACGCCACACCACGTCACACCACAGCACACGCGCACACACGCACACACACATATACACACCACCACCACAACAACCACAACCACGCACACACGCACGCACGCACGCGCACCACCACCCACTACGCACACGCGCGCGGAGCCACAGGTCCGCTACGACACGCGTCCGCGGATAGAGAAAATAGCGCCATGGTAAGGGATGGGAGGGAGGGGTAGGATGTCAGA